TCAAATACATGATTTAGCTGAAGGCAAAGAGAAGTTGAAGAAATGATCACGAGGGTTTTCTAGGAGTTAAAGAGATCAAGGATTTGTTTGTTGTTTGGGGTTTTTTTAAGTGCATTTCGACTCCTGAAAAATATGTGGAGGAAAGGAATTTGAATGCCTGCAAAGGTGTGAAATGCCTGTGCAGCCTTTCAGGAGCTGTACAAAAGCATTCAGAAGTGTCTCTTCAAAAGCAGATGCACCAAGCGAGAAAGAGTTGAAAGGAGTATTATCTGTGACTGAAAACTAATTTTAAAATGCAAATCTTAACTCAGCTTTCAAATAGGTAGGTGTTGAAGTTAAAATAACATACCTCTTGACTATTAAGCAGGAAAGTAGTGGTTAAAGCCAGCTACAAGAGGTTGTCTTTGGGGAGCACAGTTCTACCTGCTTGGTGCTCCAGGCTCTTCTCTGTTCCATGCTCTAGTTCCCAAAATCCTGTCACTGGCCTCCACCTGCTGTAACATCTGTCTTCACAGGGCAGTCCTTGATCTGTTGCATGGACCCACCAAAGGATTAGCCTGGATATCTCTTACATCTATAGTCCTCTTTTGCAGCAGTTTTGATCCTCTTCAGAGTGAAACACAAGGCTCACCTCTGCTTTCTTGTCAGTAACTACATGAGATCTGCCAGGTAGCTAAGAAGAGAAGTCCCTGGCATCTGTGGATTTTATGGTGCCACAAAGATGCTGGAACCATGGGTGGCTCTTGCAAAGGTGTCAGAATTTGGTCATAGGGGGACAAGCAGTGCTGGGGTGAAATGGCCACATGCTCTGACTGTTTCTCGGTGCAATGGCATTAAATATGACCTGCATCGCTTGGAGGGGGACATGCTCTGTGCAGCTGGAGTGCTGGGGTGGCATCATGGCATTTCCATGACAATCCTCTGCTTTATTCACACCTCTGGTAGAAGAGCAGAAGGCATCAGAGGGAAAGCAAAGGATTTCTGTTATTTTCTGAGCTGATGGAGCCTGTACAAGAGTGAAGGGACAATCACCACTGGTGCAGGGGGTTGTTTGGGGACAGAAACCCATGTTCTGGTTAGCCAAATCAGCTCTGCCATTGATTCAGAGAAAACTCCAGAAACAGACTTGCCAACAAAGTTCTCAAGCTGACAAGCAGGTATTCTTTATTGCAGCACCGGGAGACACGGGGGACAGCTCCTCCTAACGTGTCACCCCAATTGCCACACAAGCCATCCTTTTATAGCCACTGGGCATACATACGTATTCATGAGGCTACGTATGGATTACATCGTTTTCCAGAGAGTTCCTCGCATACGTACAGAATTGTGGTGGTGGTCTCTGAGGGTCGTTTACTTCCTCCAACAATCTTCATCACTTCTGGCAGCCTTTGAAGCACGCACAGTAGATGTTCATACCAGTTTAATTGGTTCGTTAGCACCAGAGACATAATAATCCTCCTGTCCTCCTACTTATCAGTTAGTTTAACTGTAGCCCATCCCGGACACCTGCAGTTCCCAGATACTCCTTATCCTGTGTCCTGTTCTTTTAGACTGTTTTTTTTTTCTTAAAAGTATGTCAATTACAACGATTTATCTTGTGAGAATTCTCAGTATGTTCTCTAGCTGCGCTCTATTTTTTTTCTATGTATCATGCACCTCAGTAATTTTCCATTGCTACTGTTACAAAGCCTTCAAACTTAACATTACTCAAAACTAATTCTAAAGATTTCTATATTCCATTTGTGATTTTGTGCCCCCCTTTTGTCTCACCATCTCATGAAGCCTCTCCCCAAAGTGCCAGCTGCTTGCTCTGCAGCGTTCCACTGGTGTCCAATAGACTTGTTCAGGTTGTCATTTCTAGAGGACCACCATCCCACCCCGTCTGGCACAAATCACTCCACCTGGCAGCCCTCCTTGGGGGGGCTCAGTAGCACAATAACATGGGCTGGGAACCACTTTGCTTCGTGTGAGTTAGCAGTGCTGGTTTGGGAGGTGATGCCCATGTCACAGCCATCTGCTGCCAGTGCCATTAGCATAGATGCACAAATACCAAATCCCTCCAGAATGTGAAAGAAATAAGGTTGTCTTGCTGTTGTGTGTTACTTGAATACTCAATTGAAATTGAATTGAAACATTAAGTATCACCTAGTGAAGTAAAACCACCTCTAATTGGGGTCAAAAATCTGTTGTGTTACAGTTTAGTTTCCATAAAAAATTTTCTTTGGCTGGCAATGGTGAGGACTAGACTGTGCCGCTGACTAGCAATGCATGAAGAATAGCCTTGTGAGCAGGAGCGGTCACCCTAGACTGGGCTCACTCACTGGTTTTCCATGTTGTTTCATTTTTTTTTCCCTTTATGGAAACTTGAAAGGTATTTATTTAGGTATTTAGGTCGCTGCTTCCTCTGTAGCCTTCATGACACACCTCAGCTTCACATCTGCAACCTTCAGACTGAAGTAAGGAGCGTTCAGTGTGGCTGGGCTGTAAGCACGGTCTCCTGGCTTCACAGAAGCTGCAATATCCCACAAGGGCAGGGCATGGAAAAACAACATGTTGTATTTTTCATTTTGGTTGTGAGAGGAAGGCTGTTTTTATGGCTTCCCATAGATAATGGATGATTCATGGAAATATATCTACAAGGGATGCCTTTATTTGAATTAGGATTCCTCATGTTAAATTTTCAGGTGTACTTATAATTGCCGTACATCCATAGTAGAATCTGGAGGTTTTGTAATTCATGGTTGTGATCCTAAGGATCAAGAAAAGGGAGTTCTCTGAAGCCAAATAATTATTTATTATTTTAAAAAACTTAGGTGTTAATTCTAGTGGGCAACGAAAACTTATTATTTCCTCCAGTACACCTAGGATTTTATAGAGGAATGAAAGAAAGCTCTCAAAGCTAAGGTCACCTTTTTTTGCAAGTGGTACAGTATTTGCTGTGAGTTAAAGAGATTAACTGAAGGAAATTGTTTATTGTTCTACAAAAAAGTACTTCAAAGTTTGCTCTCTTCAGAGAAAAGATGAATGTTTCTTGGCTGGGTGTTACTAATGAATTTTAAGTCTTATGTAGGTGTTTCTGCCTTTCAGTTAATCCATCAATTGAGGGCGAGCTGGCTTGAACATTATTTTAGGTACTCTTAGGACAGTATTTTAGATTTTTTAAAATTCAACCAGTTTATGAATTCATTGCAGGTCTCTGCAGGTTCTTGTGGAAACTGAAAATATAGAATCATAGAATCGACTAGGTGGTAAAAAGGCCTTCAAGATCATCAAGTCCAACCTTTACACCAGGACTGTCAAGTCCACTACTAAACCGTATCAGTAAGAGCTGAAAACATCCCTGAAAAACATATCTGATGGCATCTATAGTAAGAGCACAATAAAACTTAAAGAACTGCTATTTTTAGATTTTTTTTTTATATGATAGGAGGGACACATTCCCTGTGCTACCTTACTGTGCCACCAGTATGTTTCTCAGTAATATAGGATTGAGAACGGGGGGCTGGTTAGTGTCATCTCAGAGGCTTGAATGTCAAAATTCAGGCCTTGACCATAAATTTTCTCATATGTATTTAAGGCAAGCCCTTATCAGTATGTATGAATACACTGGGGGTAGAAGGGAAATCAGGTTGCTCATATTCCACATGGCAACTTTTATTTTTTCTTTGATGATTCCTCACCATGAGATTTACTTCCCAGCCCAGGATTTTCTGATGTTCTTATAAAATATGATATGCATGCATGTAAAACAGAGGAAGAAACAGGAATGTGCTTTAAAAAGCTTACAGACCCAAATGTGACACTACTGAAGTTAGGCATGAGGGCTGAAGTTCTGGGAAGAGCTTTTTTGCATTGAGGTCTCAGAAGCAGATGATGCGGCTGGAGGCCTGTACCCCATGCTGCCCTGGGAGAGCAGTGGATGCTCTCCCATGTCTCCCATGCTGCTGAGCACTGCTGTCTTCCAGAGGGCCTGTTGCCCACTGAAGTGTTCTCTGTTGCATTTTATTTACTTGATGAAGTATGGATTTGATTAGTCATTGTTTTTATACTGATGTGCATCAAGCTTATTGCATTATAAAAGCACACATCTTGAAATAAGAAAGAAGGTTTTGCAAAGATTATATCCTTTCATTTTTGCTTATTTTGTCTGCCACTTTTTTTCTTGTTCTGTACATCTCTTTGGAATCAGTGGGTCTGCCTGCAGAGTAAGGGTTGATTAGACTAGGCAAGGATAGTGCAATTCCATCGGCTTGCAGGTACTTTTATTATTGCGCTACAGTAAAGGTAGAAATGGAGTACAGTTTCTCAGGGTTCAGTAACTATGCCTAGTCTTTGAAAAATGATAAATAGCTCCTAATTAGATGAACAATAAATCAGGCAAATGATAAATAATTTCTAATAAATTCTTTTCTCAGCAGGAGTTTACACAATAGGCTCAATTCTGAACATCTGATGAATGAACACAATTGTAATCAAAAATGATGTATGTTTTTCAATCAAGAGTGAGCTGTGGAAATTACAGCTTATGTTTGATCATTCCCATCACTGAATGAAAGAGAATGGGAAAAGAAAAATTAAATAACTGTTGTCTCAATTTGATTTATTCTGGCTACTTCAGATTTTCTCCCAGGTGTATTTAGAAGTGTCTGAAAATAATCTGAATATTTAAATATAACTCAGTATGAAAGTTGATCCAGGTGCCTGGCTTTGAATCACATGGAAACCTCAATATAATAATTGTGTTATTTGCAGAAATAAAAAAGTATGTGGGTTTTGCCTTTTTTTTTTTTTTTTCCCCTCCTGAATATTTCTAATGATATTTAGAAGTAGATACTTTGATCAGTGAATGACTTTTAAGGTATCTGGGATAACCTCAGCACAATTATTTGACTCTGGTATGACTTTAAAAAATATGAGATAAAACTCTGGTTGATAGAGAGAGGAAAATGCAGTGTTCAACCTCTCTTTCTTTAATTATTTTTTCCTTTCCTCCCCCACAGGACATTAATGTATGTATCCTTGAAAACTACCCTGAATGTTCCAATCCTAGGCTATTTTACATCATACCGTATTTCTGCGGACAGCATCCAAGATGCAGGTAAATATATACAAGGTATCTCAATTTGTTCAGCAATAGCTACTGCCAGCAATTTGTCAGCCATTGGTAATAAAGAGCCAATGGTTACTTGGAAAGAAAAGTATAAGTGCAATGTAGCACTGAATGTGGCAACTGCATGCACATATGTTGGCATAAGGAGGGGAATGCAAATGTACTTCTGTTCCTTTTTCTTGTTGTAATATTTGAATAATTCATTGAATCTGGACATATTTATGTGGAAATTTTTTTTCTGGGTTGGCAAGGTGAGAATGGCAATGGCCGTGTGTGCTCACTCATTTTAGTGCACTGCAGTTCTGTAATACCTGTTTTAGCTGTGCTTAGATACTTGTATGAGGCCTGTATATGAGTAATTCCAGGTTTCTATGTCCGTGTAAGAAATAGTAATCATATTTAAAACTTGTAAAGTGCAGCCTTATACTGCTGTAATTGACCTAGCTCATTCTTAATGTGTCTGTTCTCATATTGCTGTATTATTGATTCTACATAGTAAACTTTAATGTAACAATATGTAAATAATTTTAGATATCTTCCTGTTTTCAAGTACTTTCATATTGTCAGTCAAAGCATGTTCTTTATTAGGTTTGTTCAACTTTGAGGTATTCTATTTATTTATTGTTACTGTTTATCCAGAGTGGGACAACTGCAGATGTTTTAAAAAATTTCTTTAAAAAGGCATACTTCTTTGGAGCAGTAATAACACATGAAAATGCTTTCCTTCTTATGTCTCAGTTTCTAAGTATCGTCGTTGTAAAATCCTGCTTTAGTTTTTTGGCATAAGTGAAGTTACGATTAAGAAGCAAAACAGATGCATGACTTCATTTTCATTACACATTTTTTCTCAATGTATTTTGGCCTCACTTGCAAATGCTTATGGTCGCATATTTAACTTGTCTGCATGAGTAATCCCATTAACAACAGTCACATACCTGAGTACTTTCACCACATAGCTCTATGAGGTTCCTAAGCACTATACTGAAGTACCATTTTGTAGCTTGATATAGATGGGTTTCCGATCATGCCCTTCCTTCAGGTACTGTGTAGTCTCACAAGGAGCTGCAAGAAGGAATTTTAAAAGATTTGTTAGGATTCTCTGGCCTTCCAGAAAACAAATCGGTGCACAGAAAGTGATAGGAAATGAAAAACCTTCTCCAGGTCTGTTCTAGCAAGAGTACGAAGCGATATGCTTTTATAAATGTTATCAAAAGACATTCTGACAAATGTTTGACTATTGCATAGAATTTATAATAGCCTAATGGAGCCAGAGAAGAGGTGCAATCTCCAGCCACTCTCCAATAGCATATGTGACTCAGGTGTTCATCATACCAGGTGGAACCTGTGAAAAAGCTGATTTCCTTTAATTTGGGACACTGGCATTATATCCCCTATCAAAATGAATGCTGACTGCTGCTCTCAGGACATAATTAAGATAAGTTAGCCTAAGGGATTTAGGATTCTTATGCTTGTATAACCAAATTCTGCTTCCAGGAAACTAAGAAGGAAGCATAAAGTTTTACTGGTGTTCTGCCACTTCTCCTATTGGGGGAAAAGATAGAATAACCCTAAGGTGATCTCCAGAGCAAACAAATGTGAAATCTGTAGCTGAGCCAACAGGGCTGTCAGGGGTAATGGAAGGGAAAGGGAAGCTCATGGAGACTTTGGCAGAAGTTAAAAGGAAGGACAAGGTGGGAAACAGGCCAGTAGCCTCCTGTGTAGTACTCACTGAGTAACAGCAGGCAGTGGTTGCTTGCAACAGTTCTCCTGATGTGGTTCAGGGACACTGCCACACTTTAGCACCCTTCATCACCTAGGGCAGTCATCCTCCTGTGAGACGGGTCATGCTTCGGAGTTGAAATACAGGAGTTCACAAGTCTGAGTGTACGGACAACTTGGTGAGGGATGTCTTCAGAATGGAGTATTTCCACACATTGATTAATGTCCTTCTAATGTGATCATGTTTTCACATGCCAAACCAATTCTAGATGTACAGGAAAGCTCAGTAAGCCACTCGGGTTTGGTGGGGGCTTTTTATGCTCTGTTGGAAGTGCAGCACGAAATATTTTTTTATTCAGTTGTGTCCTTGGCTTGAATTTCTGAAATGAATGCATATTTAAACTTTTCTTTCCCCCTCCTCTTTTCCCTTTCTCTCCTTCCATTAATTTCATACAGGGAGCCTGGTGAATGGGCCCTTGAAAGAGCAAAGCTGAATGTTAATGAGAATTTCCTGCTTGTGGGCATTCTGGAGGAGTTGGAGGATGTGCTGCTTTTATTAGAAAGATTCTTACCTCATTATTTCAAGGATGTGCTTAGCATCTACAAAAACCCAGGTAACTTTTTCCATTAAAAAGCTATTTTTACAGAAACTTTGGCAAAATCTGCAAGGCTGCTGAAAGGTCCGTGTTTGTCTTGTTTAGTCAGTGAAGAGATTTATCTCCCTTTCAGGGAGCAGATATGATTGATGGGGTATACATATTCTCTTTTTTTCTCAATGTCGCTGTGTAGTTTTCATTCCCAGGCAAGCACTTAGTGCTCCAGGGACCTTGTCATATGCCAGAAAGCTTCCCATTTACCACTGGAGTGGCTTTCTTGTATTTTAATTCTGTCATACTCAGCTGTCAAATAATACCGTCAAAATATTCTCAAAATGGTGTCAGCAATATCTACATAAGTAAACCTGCAAGAAGTGGTTTGGGGAGCTGGGCACTTTGGAGATTCTCTAGCACCAGGATATTTATTTTCCCTCAACCTTGACTAAGAGTTGAAACGAAATGAACCTTCAGATAAAGTTCTGAGTTCAGGAACTGAGTTTAGGTAAAGTACAAAGAAGAATGTGTATTTATGGCATGCTGAGGAAAAGACTTGGGATACTTGAGTAGAGAAATGAAAACAGAGAGCACCTAATCTACCCCTTAATTTGCATTCTGCAGTCAATCTGAAAGGGTTCCGTCTTCCCTGCATCGGTCCATTCCTCCCAATGCTTATTCATTGCTGGCTTTGTTAGAAGGCAGTCTTGTGTCCTATACCTAAACCAGGAAACATTATGCTTCTGTGGGGCTGTCCATGTCATTCCAGCAGAACTGATTTCCTGCTTACATTTGGTTGGGCTATCAACATCATATGAACCAGGGTGGGGTAAAAATTCCCTTCTTGCTTGGTGCAAGAAGGTTGCATTCATGTCAGTGTGAAATGCCTACAGCCACTGAAATGTGTGTTTTGTACCAAGTTGTGTATTAAAAACACATGGATCTAACATTTAATTTTGTTTGTAATGCGTGCAGATGATGGTTGGCTTTTGACTGAGAACAGCTATCACAGTAAAATGTCACTTGGCAGAAATCATGGGTTTCTGCCTGTAACGAGGAATTTTGGGTGACTGTCCACCAATCCCTGCCCCCAGGATGCATCTTTGAAGATTTTGTTTTTAACAATGATACAGATATTACAGGGAAAGCATGGCATTCCTCCCCTGAACATGATTTCACTGAGTCATTATCTGCTTTCAATAAAACAGTTAAGGCAGCTATTTAGAAGGGGGGTGTGTGTTACTTTGTTCTGGTGCTGTATCCAGCCATAAACCTGTTTTGTTCAGTAACAGACATAAGAAGAGCATGGTGTGGTATTGACATTAGAACAGTGCCCAGGTTTGGAAAAGAGTTATTTCTCTTTTCTTTGTAAATTAAAAACAAAAAAGGCCTATGTTTGTAGCATGTGGAAGTTTTCCTAAAGATTTAGTCTCCAAGGTTTTCCCATGGGAATGTTAAACAAGAGAGTAGCAGGGGATCAATAGAAGGATGCTCTTTTTGCAATGAGACTCTGTAGGACTTCCTCAGTTGTCCTGTTCACTGTAGATTTTCACTTCTTGTACAATGGGGGAAGTTAACAGCACACAGGGTCTTGATTTTCATCAGGTGTGAAATAAGCAGTCTCCTGGAATCATGAAGTGCTTGATGATCTTTCTCTTCTCTGTGGTTATTCCAGTGTCCAGGGTAGATTTAACACCTTATTTCAGGACAGTGATTTCCTTTGGGAGTGCACATGTAAGGCTGGTGTTGTGTCATGTCTGAAGATTAACCTCTTCAGTATTCCCCATGCGGATTAAACTTCTGGTTTACTTTTCCCATTCACTTATTGACAAAGAAAAAATAGAAAGGAAATGGTCTCCTTGTGTTGACTCCCTCCTTTTTTCATACATGCCTATGTTTGGAGGTCTTTTTCAGTCAATTATTTTCAGGTTATTTCTGAGTTGGTGCTAATGCTTAGGAAAAACTTAACAGAATCAGCCAGGGAAAAAAAAAATTCCAAGTGCTGTGCAACAAATCCTGCATCATTCTCCTAATAACACCATAGACCTGATCTGCAACACCCTCTGCTGTTGCATCATAAAGTGCTGGGAAGAAGAGATGTTACTCTGCCCAGCTGTGCGGCGACCTTTTGTTGTAACTAATACTTGCAGATTAAATCTATACAATTGACAAGGTTTGCCTTCTGACCTGCTGTTCCACCCAAGATACTCTTACAGCAGTCTCTCCTTTTTTCACATAAAGAAAATAAAGGTTTTCCAGAACTTATCTTTTATCAGTTGAATACATTGACATGAGAAAAGGACAGTGAAAGGTGATTTCATTTCCAGGTCAGTGAATCTCTGCACTGAAGTCCACTGCAGTAAGAGTTTCTGGATTAGACACAGTTCAAAAACTGGATTTGTAGAGCTGCTTTGAAGCAGAAAGTAACTGAAGGAAGGCAATTTCCATCCAGTGTTGCCTTAGTAGATTATATAGATTAGAAACCAGAGTAGAGCATTGGTGATTGCTGTCCCACCATCATCATAATATAAACAAAATGAAAAACAGCTACCTATCATTTTAGGAAGCAAACTGCTGAATGTTATGAAACCCACGAAATCATGTGTGCATTGAAGATATATCTACAGGAGTTCTGGGTTAAACCCTTTCTTCTTCCCAAACCTGGGACTCACCTCCTTTGTTACAGGTGCTTTGGGTGGTCACCAGATCACTACAGCTCCCATCCAAGAGCAGCTCTTAATATTGGGAGCCTTCACTGTAGGTTGCTGCTAATAGAAATAAGGAGATCTGGAAACTTTTCCTGTCTTTCTTTTAACTATGCAAGCCATATTCAAGCCTTTTTATTTCTTCTGTGCCTAGTAAAATTTCTCATCCGAGACAGCATGTAACAACATTTATTAAGGAACTCTTGCTCAGAGTCCTCCTAGCTGGAAAACAAAATCAGTAGCCTTTTTACCTTCAAGAACATTTTGCAGCTATTGTTCTGAAGCACAAGGTCAGTATAACAGTGACTCTACTGATCAGATAGATAATGGAACATTTACATGAGAGAGCACAGAGTGTGTGTGTGTCTGTATATGTAATGACAAAGGTAACTGCTTAATCCAGACGTGAGTGCTATTGCTGGTGATGCTAATCATTTATTATACATAAGATGGCAGAAAGAAACTGAAGAAAGGTAAAATACAAAAATAAAAAAATAAAAACTGAAATAAAAAGAGTTGCCTTGTTTGGACATTATCACTAACAGTGGTTATTGAGATATTTAATATGTTTTGCTTGCCAGCTGCTGTGTATTTGTTCCCTGATGGCTATTTCTTTTCAATGGTGTCACATCTGAAACACACACCAATTTTTCTCAAAAGTTGTGAGTTTTAAAAAGTTGGCAGTTCTTCATGACAGGAAATTTTAGTGTCAGAGGACACCAGGAAGATAATTTTATTCATTGCATTAATAAAAACGTTGTGTTTCGCTAATCCCTATGTCAAATATTTTGACTTCTGTGGTTTATATCAATGTGCAAAACAATGTGAAAGTTCTTTGTGGTGCTAAAGCTTCCATTGGAACCAATCTGGTTTTATCGTGCAGAATATTTTAGAGCTACAGGCTTCCTGTTTTTCTCCTTTTCCTCTCTCTCTTTGAAATTAAGTATTTTCTTAATGTTGGCTCTCTTTTTGATGTCTGTCTTGTCTAAAGTGACAAACTCTTCCTGCCTTGACAGCTAGAACTACCCCTGACATGAGATCAAAAGGGAAGAGTGGGGGTCAGGAGTGGCAGACAGATTATTAGGGGATAGATAAATGGATCGATAGATGGGTAGAATAAGTAATAATAATAATAATAATGGTAATGATAAAAGATCTTGCTGTGTTTAGTAGATTTCTTTGCTAATACAATAAAATTTGCTCCAATTTTTTTCTTTCTTTTTTGCCTAGCATTGGAGCAGATAAGGACCAGTTGGAGAGCCTTGGATTATATTTACTTAAAATCTGGAATTTTTCCTTAACTCTTTGAAAGGCCTGAAATAGCTATAGCATAACTTTACATCTCCCCTCACTTTCAGGAGCACAACTGATGGAAAAATAATTGGTCAGTCCTGTTCATTTTTGCTAGTCCTGTGCATTTTTGCTGGCTATAGCTCACTTTGGTAGCCTGGCTGGTGACCAGAATACTTACACAGTTTCTTTTGAAATGGGTGAGTGTTGGTTTTGTATCCTGGTGGGTTTAAGTGGTAGAAAAGTACACCTTATCTATAGACAGCAAAACATGGATTTTTTTTTTTTCTGCCTTGTCAAATTCTGCAGTATGGGGTAAAAGTTTACAGGATGTCAAAGAATAGGCTATAAAATGATCTTCTATTACCCATATCCTCTCACCTTTCTGCAGGAGTTCATAAATTTTCTTTGGCACCTGGAGCCCTACAAAAAAAACCCTTCCCAATACCAGGGAAAGAAAAAAAAAATGTTTCCTGAAAGTTGTGTTTTGCATGGAGAATATGGACATCTTAGTCTAAAGCAAGAAGATTGGTTTAAGCTTTTCAAACAGTGAATTTTATTGAGGGAAATTCCTCACACTGTCAGCTGGAAGAAAATATATTGTACAGGTAAACCGTAAAATGTGCTTTTTTGTGAAAATGTTATTCTCCAGAAGAATCACATTTACAGGGAACATTTTAAGCTGTAGTAGTAATATCCTGGGTAGTACAATCCTGCTGATTTTTTAAATCCATTCTGTTCATGAATGCTAGTGAGTCTTGACATTTTCTGTTTATAAGCTTCCCCTTCTCTTTAACCTTAGTAAGGAGAGAGATGCTGACATTTGTCTTTTTTGCAAGGCTGAAGTCCCATGAGGTAGATGATGAAGCCTTATTCGAAGGAGTTAGGAAAAGGGTGGAAGTCTTGCATAGTGCCGAAGGTTGCTGCTGTGCCAGGGCAGCACTGAAGATGGGGCATGCCTTCCCATGGTTCCTGTGCTGGAAGTGGAAAAGAACATGTTCCCACTCCTTGTCAAAACAAAACTCTTTG